CCCCCTTGTTTTTTCAACAAAAATGACCAAAAATAACCCCCAAAATGGTAAAAAGTATAAAGCTCTACTGCTATAAGAATTCACCAAATCTCTTCAAATTTTCAGTGAATGTTGTCTTACCCAAAGACAATCTACTGTCTACGTTTCGTTCTTCTACGACTAGTTCCTATTACACAAGTCGTCTCAGACAAGACCCCCCTCACACCCAATAGTGAAAACTGTTAAAATACCCAAAGTTTAGGCCAAAATATCTCCAATGGCGGAGCATGCTTCAAAAAACGGAGCATACCGTCTAAAAGGTGGGACTTCATACTAACATTATGTCCAAAAAAATCTTTGGGCTCTCACTGAATTATTCCACAATAGGGCCGCAAACACTTCGTCCACCACAGGGTACCGGCGTCAATTTTTTTCATGATAACGCGCAAAATTGGTAATTATGACACAGCAACACTATCTAATCACTTAAAAAATTCGCCCACCACAGGGTACCCACGTCTTTTTTTTTTTTTTCAGTATAACCCGCTAATTCGGTAATAATGACATAGCAACAGACAGAAAATGCCGCAAAATGGTTACACACCATAAACTTTAATGAAATAAAACCATTTTGAAGGCTTTTGTTTGTCCTAAGCCATGAAAATAACAATTGGCGGCTTAATGATGGCCTCTATTATTGTATAAGCACTCGCAGGACTTACTCTTTGCTAAGTCAAACACGCGAGTCACAGAATATTATCAAAATGCTTACATTGTCTATATTTGAACGTTAGAATGATTGTATAATGAAATGCGGCTATATATCTTTTGGGTTCGTCCTTTATTTAAGCCGACATCCGGCTCTGTTGTGAATTTCCTTCAAACTTTGTGACTGTATAACAGAATATGTTTATATTAGTTTAATCATTTTTTTCCGACGATTTTTGGTAATATTTTAGAACGAGAAATGTTTAATTAAAAATTTATAAATATTTTGAACTTCATTTGAGGTTAGTATTATTTCTTGTGTTTACTGTAGATATTACATTTGTATTTGTTTGTTTATGATAATAGCGACCGCTAATAGCCATGAAATACTGAATCTTTGTTGATGGTTTGAAAAGCCAGGAACATTCCATGTATATGAAATAAAGTTTCGTAAATATAGGCTTCCTCGCTACAAAACTGCAATCTTCAACACTCTAAATCTTCAATTGACAGCGTCTTGGCTGCTTATCAAAGTCCTCTTTCCTTATTTCGATATTATATTATTAAATGCTCCCAAATGTACAAATAAATTTGACAAAGTGGTGCTAAAGAGCATAGGAGGACATATATTTTGAGAACGAAGTGTAGATTAAGAAATAAAATGGAGATTTTAATTTTTTTTTAGTTATCTTTTTGTTTTAGTTGATGTTTTCATGCTTAAACCACTTTTGCTGTGGTTTCAAGTTTACCACAAACTTCCAGCCAAATTCTTATTAGTATGGGTAATAAAATGGTGACAAGTGAAATATTAAACTTTTGACAAAATGCAAGTGAAAGTACTTCTTAATTTCACGAGTATGCCGTGTGATTACATTTTAATATCATAGATTACAAATTACGCTTTTGACTTGTTTATTGTATGGAGACATTTTGCACCAAACATTGCCATGGCAATTTGGTAATTTCACAGGTGAAATTATAAATTAACGCTGAAATTTCGCTCCAAAATTAAAGAGTAATTTGTCACCCACGATATTATATATTATAAACACGATATATCATGGACCAATCGACAGTTTGTGCATTACAAACCCTATATTGACAAAAGAAGAAACAAAAAAAGGCCTCTGCTTTATCTATACTAATTAATTTACTAAACTACAATGCAGGTAACTGTAAATTCGTTTTTCTCAAAACCAGTGCCTTCATTTCAATAATTTTGAACGGAAGGTTAAATTAAACTTTTGCAGATGACATTTTTGCCGCCAGAAGCGAAAATTTGCGCCAAATAGTATTAACCCATTTTAATGCGGCATCATCCTAACAAATATTTATCAAAGTAATCGCTGAAAACTGACATGAAAGATAACATTTCCATCTTTGAGAGCCAACCGCAAACTGACTAACGTCGGAGCGTTATTTAGGTTAACCTGAGTGAGATTCAGGCACCGGGGCGGACTCCCATATAAAGAGACCCAAACCCTGTTTTTTTTTTTTTTTTGACGTAGCTTGAGAATTTTTCCACCCCTAAGAGGTACCAATTCTAAAACAACACAACAACTAAATACTGACGGTTTTCAACTCAATATCCCCTTCATTTTTTATATGGGAGTTCCCCGCCCCTCGGGATTCAGGTTAACCGGAGAGATGCCCAAAGCATAATATTCTCGCATGCACTATGTTGATAATCCTAGGTAATTATATTCCATGAAAGATGTCTGCGTTTACAAATAATGACAAAATAATTCCTTCGTGGCTGCTCTAATTTCACGAACTCTCCAGCAATACAACAAAGGATTAAGGGTAGAATTGAGTAAAACTATTGTAATGGTTACGTGGCGAGCAACATTTGAAATGCTTATTCCCGAATAGAACCTCTCAAGGACAACCGAATAAGGCAGATAACAAAACAACATTAAAATGTACACGAGAAAAGTGTTTAAAGCTGATCTCTTGAATCTTTGCATACTAAAAATATTGCCATCTGTATGCATCCGACCATGTACCTGTCGACGAATCTGCAATAGATGTCGACGAACGATGAAATATATTTTTAAATAAACAGCAGAATTTCCAACAAGTAGGGTGAAAATAAAAGGAGATAACGCATTATAAGATAGCTCAGGAGTCCATAACCGTATGGTTGATAAAATACCCGAGACTGCCCAAATAGAAATGATCACCCAGATAATACGACAGGGTGTTACCAAAGCCTGATATCTTAGATGTAATTTAAGTGCCAGCAAACGATCAACTCCTATTGCTGTTATGGTAAAAAATGAAGCACCGCATAAGAATGAGGTTAAAATGCTGAAAGCTTCCCAAAACTTTCGAGAGAAAGACGACATTCCCACTAGCAGCGCTGATACAAACAGCGGATGCCCAACCAAGCCGACTGCAAGGTCCGACACTGCAAGGTTTACCAGCAAGATATTCGAAGCCGTGTGCAACGACGATGTCTTCCAAATTGTTAATATTATTAAAACGTTTCCAATCAGAGCCGTGCAGCTAAGGAAAAGATTTACCACGCAGAGTGCGATTGTGTATGGTAGTTCTTCTTGAAATCCATAGTCTTTGCCAGAATTGTTCTTGCCAAATTCATGATCTGTATGGTGCCGTAAACTTGCAAAATGATGCGTAGTGATGTTGTTTTCCATCGTTCATTACACTTTAACTCTCCAAAGGGTAAATTCTAAGTCATTTGAAGTTCTTCCCGTACGGTTTTAATGCTGAAAATCGCACAGTTATCTGGTAGACTAATAATCAACTGGGACTAAAACAAGCTCTGCTAATCCTCAATAAGTGACCGTCCTTTTTTCCGTAGTTAGAGAATACTTCCTAGCGAAGGCAAGTAAAACAAATGACAGACCTTAATAGGTCGTTAAAGATGACGAGGCTCGGTAAAATTGTTTCCAACGTGGTTTTAACCACTCTCAATCTTAGATAATCTGGTTGACAGTGAAAGAGATTCGCCTTATTTCATCCTTCGTTGTAATGAGCAGTTATGGGACTGTTTGCTATAAACGTTTGGAAATAAAAGAACCAGTAATTTGAAACAGCCCCATGATCTCCTGCAATCATATAGCTGTTTGTATAGTCGCTTTGCAGCTGCTCTTAGACAAACTCCTTTGAATCCAATGTAGGCTCTAGAGTAAACGGCTTACGAAGTACACTTTGAACCTTTGTTCGTTTTGTTTACTTAGCTGATAGGCGACCACCCGCCTGAGACAATTCAATTTTCCTTTGACAATAGCTTTAATTTATGTTGATAAGGTCGATAAGCGAGTGAGTCTAAACCAACATTAGAAGCTATGTTCAGTTATCAGGTATCTAAAAACACTGGAAATTTCTAGGAGGTTTTCCTCTAAGCCCCTAAAGCGTACAACGAAGAATAACAATACCAATGACAAATAACAATACTATGACACTAGACCAACATAATAAAATGAACCGCGAAAGAATCATAGCCTAAAAGGCGACGATTTTCGATGGGCTGTTTATTTTAGCTGACATCCAGCTGTACTTTGAATTTCCTTCAAACTTTGTGAATGTTAAATTTATGTGTTCATATCAGTTTATTTATGTTTTTGACGATTTTTGGTAATGTGTTATTAGAGAAAAATAATATTTAGAAAATTTGTCAGAATTGAGTTTGAACTTAAGAGCAATTCTCCAGGAAAGTGAAGCAAAGTTGGAAATGAAATTTTTAACTCCTCTTCATTTTTTTTTGTGCGGAGGTAAGTTACCTGGGGTATGAACAAAAACAGCCATATTTGGATCGGCAGGTGTGTCGTTGCCATGGTAACCGGACTTGATCACGTCGGCCTGAGGTCTATGTTTTGACTAAAAAATTCACTCTCAAGAAGTAAAAATAAACGAGTCTGGTTCTCAGGTGCATGTGAACCAATTCAAATGAAATTCATACAGATGGTAGAGCCACTCTCCCAGTTTATAAAATTCGCCGTTTAAGTATTTTGAGTTTTATAATCAAGAAGACAATGCTCGTCCTACTGTGTTGCCTGTCAGTCATTTTGACAAGCAGGAAAAACAAGCACAACCATATACGTAATTTTTCCGAAAGTACTCTTTCCCCAAAAATCAAATTAGCAGCAGAGCTTACATAGATATTGAAGTTTCTAAATATCATAAAATCTGTTTGGGGAACATTGTATTCTGGCCATGGGTGTTGAAGAGATCCGAGGCAAGTTGCAAAACAATCGCCAAATTGGAAATTTTGAGGGCTCTAGTACTTGGCTCAAACAGGCTTTAGATAGAAAATGTCAGTTTCAAAAGTATTTTCTATCATCTTATCTGTTATCTAAATTTGATTGATTAGGTTTTGGCCAACGAATTTGATGAAATATAAATTGAAACAAAGCCTACTTGCAACTCTTGGGAATTTCTTCAGGATGCTTTTGTCGTATAGTATGGGTCTCTCCTCATTTCGCTCGCTCCATTTTCTTGACCGAATCGTGCACAGACTCCAGCGGAAGGGTCAAATCTAACTGGCTGGCCTCACCGAACATATACTTTTAGACCACAGATGATGATGCATTAACCCGAATAAAGAACAGTCGAACAGGTCAAACACAGTCGTGTGTCGAGTATCGAAATAATTCATCAATA